ATCCTATTACCTTTTTGTTGTGTGGTCGCTTTACTAATTTCCATGCACCATTTTTAACAAGTGCTTCATACTCACTTTGCAAGCCTTATGCCATTCTTCAGCATAACTTCCATTTAATGCTTCTTCTAATGTCGGATTTGTATCTTCTTCAGCAATTTGTGCTTCTTCCTTTTCTATGTTTATATTGTGGTACTCCTTTTTTGGTCTTCCTGGCTTCCCAGTCTTGACTTTCTTTGGACGACCTGGCCCCCTTTTAATCTGCATTTCAGGTAGTGCTTCGGAATCAGAATCTTCATTATCAGATGATTCAGCAGATGATTCTGCCACATTTGAGGGGTCTTCTGTTATTTCATCAGCCGATATTTGATTTACATTCAGAGATTCTTCCTTCTTTTTATCAGGAATATTTCGAGAAATAAAAACTTCTAAATCTTTATCATAATTAATACAGTTTTCAATTCATCAATGAATCTAACATCTCGGCTTATAACGATTTTTCTGGAATTTTTATTCCACAGCCTGTATGTTTTCGATTCATTTGAGTATCCTATACAAAATTATTTCTTCTGAACGAGGATCGAATTTCCCTTTAGACCTTTTATTAAGTACAAAACATTTCTGTCCGAATATTTTGTAATGAGATACAGTTGGCTTGATGCCAAAAAATAATTCATAAGGTGTTTTGTTTACTCCCAGGCTTCGATTCGGGCAACGATTATGAATATAAACAGCACAGTTCAACGCTTCAGCCCAAAAGGATTCGGAAAGATTACTTTGTAGTAACAAAACATCTGGCCATTTCAGTTAAAGTGCGGTTCATGCGTTCAGCTCTCGAATTCTGTTGAGGAGTCATCATGGTGTAGAGAATTTCCGTTAATCCCGCATTCTTGAATATATTATTAAATTCTTCTCCGCGATATTCGGGACCGTTATCAGTCCGAAGGATTTTTATTTTTTCCTAGACGATTTTCGACCGCAGCTTTGGTATTTAATGAATGCATTTTTCACTTCATCTTTAGTTTTAAGAAAAAACTGACTTCGACATAACGCGATTTGTCGTCTATGAAAGTAACAAAATAGCGCGAACCAGCATGGGATGGGACTCTCATAGGTCCACACACAAATCTGAGTGAATCAAGTTCAGTAATCATTACTTGGTGAAATTTTGATTCTTTTTGAAAAAGGTTGCACAGTTTGTTTACCTCTGATACAGACTTTGCAGTCTTTTAGAGATTCAGTGTTATTAAAATTTAAATTTCTAACCATGTTATCAGACTTAAGTCTTTTCAAATCAGACTCATTTAAATGACCTAATTTAAGATGCCACTTTACAAAATCACTTACCTGTGCTATTGCAGCTGTTTCAGTGCTTGGAGTATATAATAAAGATCACCATGACGATAGCCTGCACTAGTATAGATCCATTTGGTTTATTATTCTAGCATGTCGTTCTGTAAAAATCACTGAACGATTATTTGCAGTAGCCTTTAGATGTTGACAGCAAATTACATTTTAATTCCGGAACACATAACACATTTTGAGCGTAAGTTGTCTTATTTCCGTTAGGTACGTTATAAGGACAGTTCCAATTCCTGTAATTTTTGCTGTTTGTTAACTGCTAACTTATGGTTGAATTCGTTCGAGGGTGAAATTCTGAAAAATAACCTTCTGTCATTGCAAATGTGAGATGTACAGCCACTGTCTAAGCACCATGAGGAGGTCTTTCTGATAAAGCATTGTTTACTGCTAAACTAATCTGCTCTTCATAATTAGAAGCCATCAATAGAACCTTGATTTCCCTTATTTGATTGCGCATATTTTCTATCAGCTATTTTTCTCTGCATTCAGATGCCTTGTGCCCCAATTTTCGAGCAGTAATTACACTTCAAGTTTCGAAAATTTCTTTCAGCAGGAAAATTTTGTTTGAATTCACCTTCCATTTTTTCATTTTTCTTCTGTTCTTGATTTCTTCTTTAATATAAGTTATAGTATGCATTCTGTGAATCTTGAGACGTTTTCCCTTTTCTTGCTTCCCATTCTTCTAACATTTTGATTTTTAAAGATTCGGGACTAGGTAACTGATCTCTTGATTCGATGGCGCATCTAAAATTTTCAAAATTTCTGGATACTATAGAGCAGAGAAGAATCGATAATAAATCATCAGCTATGTCAATTTCCATTTGTTTAAGCTTATCAACTATTTCGAAGAAAATTATTCAAATGTTCAGACATCGTTTCGCTTTCCACCATTTTCTAAATAAAAAGCTGTTTTAATAATGTAGCCTTCTTCGCAGGTCCTTTCGATTCATATACGGCTTTGAGTTTATTCCACACAGCATTTGATGTCACACAATGCTTTTATGACACAGTTCACTAGGATTAATTGCAAGAATTATATCTGCGCGAGCTTTTTGATCAGCTTGGAGCCATTTCTTTTCGTCTTCGGTTCCTTCAGCAGGTTTTAGCACTTTACCGGTTACATAATCCCAATGGTCGTTTTTAATCAATACTGCTTCTATTTGTAATTTCCAACTGTCAAAATTATCTTTTCCGAGCTTTTCTATAGTAGTCAAATGCGACCATAATGTAATACAGTCTCTCACAGCCAAAAACCAAGATTGAGCGCTATAAAAATAGGCTTAACTGAACGCTGATCAGTTCTTACCGTTGATTAGACGTAACAGTTCTTGCACTGAATTAGGCTTAAGAGTTCAATGCTCGAAAACTTCAAAATGTTCATTTTAAACTAAGTATTTTGCTGATTAGGCGCAGTTGAAACGTTCCTGGGCCCATAACCATTGAAGAAATAAATGAGCCTAAATAGATTGTAATATCAATGAACATTTTTAATGACAGAGATTAACTTAAACATAGTTGCGTACAGCAGAGAAAAAAGGCGAAGAAATAAGAATGGTATACATATACATCCATACGTAATAAACAGTTACGTCATCATTCATCACCGCGCGGATAAACGCGAACGGCGCATGCGTCAGGAGAAGCTCTCTTAAGCTAAACGTCGTATTATAATTTATGATAAAACAATTAGTTAGATTTTTAATTGATGATAAAATTAAGGTTATCTGTAGAAAATACATACATGTACAGTACTGGCCAAAGTTTTAAGGGGAGTATAGAATGAAATTATTTGTTTTGTATAAAAAGTGTTTATACAATGTTCCGTTTTTGGAATTAGTAAAAAAATTATCGTTTGTTTATATATTAAAAATATTATTTGTTTCTGTTTATGTTAGTTATAAAATATACCGAATGAAAGGCGAATCTGTTTTATTGTTTCTTTTACTGAATTTACATAATTAATTTTTTACATCGATCTTTTGTAATATTACTCCTTACCCCTTTCTGTTGTAGAGTAAAGCTGGTTTAGATATTTTTCTAACCTACGGCAAAGTGTTATCTCTTCCATTATACTCTATAAATTTTAGGTTTGTTTAACTCAGGTTGTTGCGAAGGTACGAGTAACAAAGTAATATTTCTTCTTGAGGAAATCATTTCAAAACCCGAGTGGAATATTTCAGATCATTATCATTTTCATAAATGAGGTAACTACTCATGTTATTGTGTAAACATGGTAGCATCACTAGTTTGAATGTCTTTCTATTGAAACTGCTCCATATCTCCTTCAGAGTGACGTATTGGTCCAAGAATAAAAGTATGCCCACATTATTACGCTCTCGCTATCCTATTTAATAGGTAGTAAAAATTCATTGTATTTTTTTAATCTTAAACTATTCGACACCTTATATGTTGTATGCCTTCAAAACGACGATAGCGAACTTCATTTCGGCCCAAAAAATTAACACTTTTTGCCATTTCTTATTTATCTGAAGGATTTTAGTGAATGAAAGATCCCATTTTTCGATTTTTATGGTACCTTATGAGACCTTAGTCCGCTCAATGAAAATATTTTATCTTCTGATCATTTCAGTATTGGTCTGAATGCCGTTATTGATACATATTTTAGTTGCTGTATAAATTGCAGACAAAAATTTAAGAATAATTTAAGAAAATGAAGATTTTTATTTGGTTAAATGAAGGATTTTGTTGTCTGTTTTTGATGATGTTTCTCGCGGTTCTGTTGCCTTTTGGTTGAACAGAACATACACCGCCTTTAAAACTTACACCATGCTTATCTGCAAAAAGCTCTTGGCCTAACGGAATTTCTTTATATTTTGCCAAATGTCTTATTTTTTTCTCCGAAGTATCACAACTTGTTCCCTTTTACTTGATTTAAATTCGGAGGTTTGTCTATGTTTTTGTCCTATGTAAATAAACCTAAAGTAAAAAAAAAAAAAAAAAAAAAAAAACACTGTATACCGAGTTAGTGAATGTTAAGTTTTAACTAATTTCTCATTTTTTAGCGTTAATGTAACAGGAAGCGCGTTTAATTATAACAACCTGTAGAGACATGAGAGTTTTTTTGGAAAGCAAGAAACTTGAAAAATGAGCAAGCGCCTTCGCCAGAAATCGAACCGCGGATTTCTGGAATATATGCGCCTAGCTTGCAGGCAACCACACCACGAAGGCATGCGAAGAAGCCGGGAGAAATACCTTATAAACCTTCCTTTTTAACAGTGGAATTTCAAAAATGAAAATGCTGAAAAATATTTTACTTTTAATTTATCTGCTTTCAGGATAAATGTATTATTTGTCTATCATATTAAAAACAAACCTTCTGATAAATACGGAAGGATAAAATTAATTTGTTATGTGTTTATTAAATCTACAATAGTTCAACTGTAAGTTAGTAAATATTTTGTAAGTTAGTTTATATTTTAGTTTATATTTCGTAAGTTAGTATATATTTCCGTAAGTTAGTATATATTTTGCATGCTGCATTCATAGTTTATGCAAGGTGGCATATTTTACTGAAGTGTAGGGATTTCGGGTTCCAAGTTAAAATACTTGTAAAGTGTTCTCTTAACGTCACGTAAATGTATGATTAATTTTTTTTAAGTTAATGTTTCTGATTATTTCAGGGTCGCTGCAACAGAGAGAAGCCACCATGCAAGTATTTCCACCCTCCTCAACACCTGAAGGACCAGCTGTTAATCAACGGCAGAAATCACTTGGCCTTGAAGAATGCCATTATGCAGCAATTGCCGCTGCAGCCCTTGCTGCAGCCACCGGCCGCACAACTCACCCCTGCTGTCGTGAGTATCATGAATGTACGCTCCAATTTTTCCTTCCCATTCACTTTTTTACTCCCTTCTTTTCCTTTTTGCATGCATTTTAACATTTATAGTTTGTATTTACTTTCACATGTTTCCAAATGTGTAATAATAATGTCAAAACTCAAAGTAGTGACTAACTGCTCGATGTCTGTAATTGGTTGATTTATATATTAGGTAAAAGAAGTCAATAAACGTCGGATGCATGATCAGTGCTTAAATATTAATTTGAAAAATGCTAAAATTATAAAAAAAATTTTAATTGCTTTGACTAGTGCTAAAATACAAATAAAATATAAATAAAGTATCTGAAATAATGTATCAGTTGATTAAAAAATGAGAAGATATATGATGACTTGGTGAAAGAAAGTTTCAACGGTTTGACGATTTTCTCTGCACTATAACTGCGTAGTTAGCAAGATGACATTCGAAGAACACACATAACGATAGCTTCCACACATAATTTTATTCCTTGATAATGCACATCATCACTGTGGGTGCGCTATGCATCCCACAATTTTATGCAGTTTACATTTTCTAAATAATTGACGAAATTGAAAAAGTAAACTCTGCGTGGCTAGCGGCAATGCAAAGCAGCGAAACGAAGCAAGAGAGGAGAAGAAAAGAGAGGGATATGCTACGTAATTAACCTTTTATGCCATTTCAGATCATATGACAGTGTAATGTCCAGATGTTGTGTTCAAATTTCATCGATAAGTGCGCAGTACAGATTAAATGATGTATCTTTTCCATTTAGTTAGAAAAATTATTGCTGTATTATTTTTAGAATGAAGACAGGAGTCAACGGGCTATTATTAATTTATTATTTAAAAGAATGCATGTATTTTACATATATATATGTGACATTTAAAACAAATTACTTAAACCATATAAGATTACCTCATGGAATTCTTTTTTACCCGTTTTTGGAGAAAGCTTTTTATTTCAGCAATAGTATATATGAATAGCGCTGGATGATAGTTTTAGGGTCATTTCTTCACAGTGGGCGTCTAATTAGAGGGCTGCACTCTATACTGTTTCAACTATTTTTTGAGGATACCAAAGGGGGGGGGAAGGAAAAATGAGCGTGCTGTTACCTGTCAGCGTCTTTAGGTAGAATAGAAAGAAAAATTGTCTACATTTACAGAGTTAAGTCCCGATTTTCTTTGCGAATCGATTCGTCAAAGCCTTGTTTTAACGGGGACTTAAAAATAAATGAATGCACAGGAATAGTGTGATCGTTAGAGCTAGTAGGAGTAGAAGATTCCATCTCTTTGACAAAGCATCTGTGACGTGAACACACTGGTATTTATTTAAGGTAAATGCCTTTTAAAACTGCCTTATTGAACAGAAAGTTAATTTCGAATTCATTTCTTATATTCTGATACACAACTTATTTATTGTTTACGTTTTTGAGAAAGGTAGATACACTACTTGCAGATTAACCACAGATCAATCGACTTTAAACATTTAGCATAAATCATATTGATGCTTTTTCCTAACAAATTCCGGTACTTTTCCGTTTTGACGCCGCAAGCGATAAAATCGCCAATAATGGTACAGCTGATACCAAACGGAATATTCTCGATGGTAACCTTTCACGCCTTATTTTCAAAACAAGTAGCAGCGATTTCTTATCTGATTGTTTCTTTCAATACTGGCATACAATTACATAGAAATTTTACCAGATAGTTCAATTTTGTGCCTTAAGGCCATTCGCGGTAATTAAGACAAATAGGATGCAACCACAACACTCACCCGAAGGCAAAAATATAGAAAAGGCAAAGTCAAAGGTTAAACTCATCAATCCTAATGAGAATGCACTAGCGAAGTAAAGCACTGCGGTTTTACATAATTTCTGAGTAAGCTATTCGTACGAATTGAAATAATTCTTGCATTTAAACTTGTATTCCAAATTTAGATTTAACTTGAAATTAATGTAGATAATTACTGAAAGAACTAGACTTTTGTAGCGTAGTTTACATGAGATTGGATCACTTGGGGTCACGTGATACGAACCGGCGAAACAGGATGTTGAACCGTGAAAGCATAGCAAATTATTAAATTAATGTCTTTTTACGATTTTTTTTGTCTTTATTTATTGGCTTTTTACAAAATTTTAAACCGTATTAAAATGTTTATGCCTTCAAAATAAAAAATTCTTAGAACTAACATTGTCGCCAATAAAGTCTGCTTGGGGAGATTTGCGGCGGCGAAACGGAAAAGTACCCAAATTCCATAACGGACTGTTATCGTGGAATAGTGTCCATTCCTATTATCGGAGTTTCCTGATATTCTCAACAGTTCAGTGCGTATTAAAGAATAACTGCACCCGTTGTTAAACTTCCCCTTGTTAATATTGCAGCCCTTGTTAATGTTTTAATATTGATTAATTTTCAAAGTTTGTTTGCGCTTTCAAGTAAATATATATTTTAATTTATTCTCATGTGATTATTATTTCGTATTGCAAAAACAGTGGTACATATTAAATTAATTTTCATTAAAATCCTAGCTAGAAATGCCAAAAAAAACGATCTTCTTCAGTTTGTCATTCGTTTAATTCTTGCATCTTTATAAGTCTGAAAAACTTATGAGATAAAAACAATACATATTACTCGTTACAAATACCGTGTAAGGCAGCTTTCTCATCTCAGTATTTTTCTTTCAGTCTTTTTGCCTTAAATACAGAATTATTTCCCACTGATGGGATTTTTACAAGTGCATTTTCACGTCTACTTATTTTCTATAGTGTCTGATATTAGTTAATACTCAAATCAAGAAGAAATCAACTAGAGAGATCATTTACTCTTTTACTAGTTTAATTTCTCAGTATGTATAATAGTGTCAATTTTCGGGTTTTAAGACAGATATTTCCTCAGTATAAATTTTATTTCTAATCACGAGTTGATAACACTGAAAGATTGCAGTTGTAGAAGTAAATGCGCGACTGAAAAATAAAGTATATCAACGATTAATTTGTATTTCGTATTAAATACTGGATTGCAAAGTTATCCTTTTCTTACAACTTACGTGAATTATGTAATACAAAAAAAAATATTTAAACTTTCTGTGTATGTCATTCGCATCTTAAACTTTGTCAATTATGCAAATCCTTGAAAAAAATTAAAATTGCTAAATGATGTGCATGTAAAGGCGTGTTTCATTTTTCTGCGAAAATGAGATTTTGTTAAAAGGCAACTTTATCATCTTTTATTTTATTGATATCGTAGTGGTACTTCTGTCTCAGAATTATGTGAATAGTTAAGACGACAACCAAAGCTTTCAAAAACCGTTTAACTGGCTAGTTGATAAAATTTCTTCAAAACAGAGTTCATTAAATTGAATTGCCTATTCCTGCAAGTGGATAAGATAGGGTAAAATGGGATACTAGAAATGAATTACCTTTCTTTGACTTGCTTAAAATATTTATTCTTACTTTAAAATGTTTATTCTTATTTTTATATTTTATTCGTATTTTAATGTAGAAAACTGCTATCACAAGATAATGTTTGTTAATGTATATTTGCCATTAATCTGCTTTTCGGTTAATTATTGCATTTTTATGTATTTATTTTCAGTTATATTATTATCTTTTATACTTTTTTTGTTATAAGATAGTCTTCAAATTTCATAAATTATCTCATACAAATTTTGTAATTTTCATTGAACTAAGAAATGTAATGAAGGTCAGTAATGCATGTGCTTCTAGTACTGTGTTTTAAAATTTAAAAATTGATGTTCAGATAGAGAGAAAAAATTAGTGAACTCTTAACTCTGGAAACAAAAAAAAAAAAAAAAGCTTTTTCAAGGAACATTAAATTAAATTATAATAAAATGTTATACTTATAAAACTATAAAAATGCTGTGGGCAAAATTTGAGACCATGGCTTCTGATCGGTTTTCGGTATTGTTAAGCTAACCATATTGCAAAAAATCTCGAACATGATTCAAGGATGCAGTTTCATAACGTGACTGAGTTATGGAGAATGTCGAGTTCAGGATTTTTTTATTTTTACCTTTCTTGACTCATCTTAACAACTGAGTTTTCTATAGCTTCTTAATTGAATAATTTAAAACGAACTGTAGCACAGTACATCTCGTGTTAATTTTCAAAATAAATTAGAAATAAGATGCTAAACAATAGTAATAACTACTAGTAGTAGATAGTGCTGGATATAAATTAGCTGAGGAAGAAAGTATATGTTGCTCCATTAAAAGAAATTTTGATTGCTTGTTTCCCGTTATGGAGATTTGCATTTTATTCTATGTACATAAAAAAAAAGGCAACTTTAAAAAATTAGTAATTTTAATGATGGCCGTCATATTTTCCGAAATCGAACATACGAAATCCTCATTGTCTGAAATTCTGTATTTAAGCACGTCTTATTAATGAAATAATATTATGGTAATAATTTTATTACTGAATACTAGGTTGTGTACTTAGAGGTGGCTGCAGTAAATTAATGTTCTAAATTTCTTATCCAATTTCAAAGCGTTAAATCTAGATTTTGAGCATTAATAAATAGGCAAGAGAGCAATTAGATGCTTTGCTCGAATCTGAAATATCCTTTCGTGCAGGTTATCGAGCAAATGGATACATTTCAGATGATTTCAAACTTCAAAACTCTACTCTAATTCGTTCTAGTAACCCAAGCACTTCTGTGGGAGAAGCTAGAAGGTCTGGCATCTCGCCTTGTCGATGACCCGTTGCTTAATTACCAGCTTCAGCGAGCTTTATTAACAGCTGGCAGACAATCAGTCATCAGAGGAGTGGACCACCAAAAAGGAAAGGAAAGCCCATTAGCGGGCATCTTCGGTAGGACTTGACCACGCCAAAGCGACCAGGCGATGAAGTTTTAATACCATTTAGTCTCGTAGGCGCCAAGCGTTTTATACCTAGACTTCTGGACTGCGTCACTACTCCCACAAGTTTGGTAGACTATTACCCTGTAGGGTTGCTCTACTTTTGGGAAGAAGGGTTACTATCTTGGCAAATT